CTGTATTGAGCGCCTACTGTGACAGGCCTTTCACATATATGACATTCCCACTGAACCCTCACAACCGCCCAGAGAGACTGCTCTTTGCAGATGTGACTGACTTGGTGGCAATTCAACCCCAGGCTTCGGGCCTAGTAGCCTTTCCCTGGCATGGCATGGCACAATCATGGAAGCAGCAACTGCGGGGAGGGCAAGGATAGGTGCAGTTCCCGCCGCGCCCGCCCACGGGGAAGTCAGCCGGGGCGGGGGGACTCGAGGGCCTGAGCCACGCGGGGAGCAACAGCTGTCGATGTAGCGCCCGGGGATCTCGCCTCCGTAGGGCCGACCCGGCGCCGGGGCCGAGAGGAGGGGCGGCGAGGGGCGGGGCGCGTGGGGCGGGACGGAGGAGGGGCGGTGGCACGGGCGGCTCGGGCTCGGCGCGCCGAGGAAGTCCCGCTCCGAGAGCTGCGAGCGTCTAGAGGAGGCGCGCTCCGCGCAGTCGGGGAGTGAAGTCCGGAGCAAGGGCCCCCCGCGCCGCCGCCGCCGCCGCCCGCACTTGCCACCGTCCAGCCAGGGCGCCTGCGGCGGCCGCCGATGGAGTTCACTTGAGCTGTGAACCGGCGGGAGAGGCAGGAGCCCGCGAGCCGAACGCGGGCCGGACCCCAGCCATCGCCGGGCGCTCGCCCGCCAGCCCGCAAGCTCCGGCCAGAGGCGCCGCCACCCCGTGCCCCAGCTGCTGCAGCGCCTCCCGGGCCGCGAGCCGGCGAGATCCGCACAAAATCTAAACTCCCGAAACGGCTCCCCCCAGCGCCGCGGAGGCAGCAGGCTCAGGACCGAGCAACCCGCGGCGCGGCTGGAGAGGCGGGACCGGCTGTTGGGGAGCCCCGGGCGGCTGCCGAGGAGAAGCCGCCGCGCGCCCTCCTCCTCCCTCTCCCTCCTCCCTCCCTCCGCACATGGTCTCCTTTGTCCTGTCGCCGCCGCCGCCTCGCTCTTAGCTCCGCGCGCCACGGCGGCGGCTTGGGCCGCTCCTCTCTGCCTCGCCCTCCCGCCAGCCGGCCCCGGACGTGCCTCGTGAGCCCCCGCCGCGCCCGCCCGGCCCCGCGCGCCGCAGGAGCAGCCGGGAGACAGCGGCAAGCGTGGGCCGGGCGATCTCCGCGGGCGAGCTCCTCCCGCCGCTCGGGGCCTTGGCCGCGCTGGATGTGTGCGCGCGGCGCAGGCTCTCCGCCGCCCCGAAGCTGCTGCCCCGTTCGGATCTGGTTCGGTGCCTTCGCTCTCGGACTTCGGCGAGGAAGCAGCCCAGAGACTCTTGTGCACGGAGCCGGGTCGGGAGTTGGGCGTTTTCTCTTCGTGTGTTTTGGTGGTTTCCTCTGGTCTCTGACGATCGCCCTTCTGGAGCCCTGTTAAGGAATCAAACCATGAACTTGGGGCTGACCGGACCGCTTGACCCTTTGCGACCAGGTAATGCAGCCCCCGGGGCGCGGCTCGCTCACCCGCCACCTGCGGTCGGAAGGGAGGCGGCCGGGTCGGGGGTCTTTTGTTGCGGCGGCCGAGCCGGCGGGCAGGGGTGGCCAGGGCGGGCTCCTCGCGTCCGGCGCGCCCAAGGCCCCCTTCGCCACCCCTCCTCCCTGCTTTTCTCCCCCCTCTGCGGCCCTGTCGCCCGCCTTTGTACTTTCCTCCCTTGGCCGGCCCGGCTCGGCTGGGGAGCGGCTGCGCGGGGCCCGGAGCTGTGCGGTCAGCCCGGGAGGGCCTGGCGTTCGCCACCGAGTTCCGATGCGGGGAGGGGGCCGGGGCCTGCGTCCGCTGGAGCTGGGGGCCCTGGCGCGGCGCGGCGCGGCGCTGGCGGCTCCTGGGGTCACGCTTCCCCCGCGCCGAGGTCGGAATCCCGCCTGCACGCGTTGCCAGGGAATCGGAAGGAGATCTGGGCTCGGGTTCGGCAGCGGGTGAAAGAACTCGCGCTTAAGTTTGCAGGAGGTTTCTCTTTTCCTGTTCGAAAGCCCCCCTTCCCTTCCCGCCTGTGCGGGCGCGGAGGGCGGCCCCCGGGGTCTGCGTCCGAAGGGAGTGAGGGGGGACCTGGAGCAGGATCCGCTGGGACCCACCCCGCCTGCGAGCACGGCTTTTATAAGTTTTCCTTATTCTCCGCGTTCCCGCCTCCTTTCTGTTTCTCTTATTTAACTTTTCTTTAAACGCCAACTACGGCTTCTAGCAATATTTTTTTACATCCAAAACAAACAAAAAAAACTTCTTCCCCTTCCCCTTAAATAAAAAGCAGCCAAAAGAGAGCTATGGTTTTCTGTCAGTTTTAGATTCAACCACTTCATGCCCCTACCCTCCAAAACCGGGCCGAGGGGATAAAAGGAAGTGAGTAAAATCTTCAAGTCTGTAGCGGGTAGAGGTGCCCCGTGTTAAAAAAAAGAGAAAAAAGAAGGAAGAGCTCCACTCGCCTGCTCACTCTGGGCTCACCTGTTTTCCATTAGATTAAGCGGGGGGAGGAAAGCCAGGAAAATGATCCAGGTAATACAAGGAAATGCATACTATTTTCTGAAAGCAACGAAAATGGTAAACATTCCCAAGATCAAGACCCAAGGAACCACATCATTTCTACAAATGTTCTAAAAGCCTAAGTAGAAGGAAAGTTCATTGAGGAAAAGCAAAGGGTACTCGTGTCGTTTCCCCTTAAGATTTTAGGAAGAAGCCTGACTTGTTAGGACAGTGGTCGGCCGCAGTTGTAACCACCTGGTTGGGAGACAGGAGGGATCCAGAATGCTTCCCGTCGTCATCTTAGGAGTGTTTTTCTGTGGAGGCCTTTCTGAGACACCCCTTTCTCAGTCGCAAGAGGCATGGTGTCCAGCCTTACTACTTGTATCAGTCAAGTAAGGGCTCAGAAAGCTTTCAATCGAAGATGCACTCCAAAGCCTCTCTGAATGTCCGCTCAGACTTCCTTCCTTAATAACCTGCTGGTCGGCGTCATAGTAATGACATCTTCAAGTCTGGTTCACACACGAGGATCACCACAGTGTCTGTTTGAGAATCCCATGTGGAGCCCAGTGGAGCTGACAAAGGTGGCAGAGCAAAAGGCCTGTTTACCCTCAGCTCTGTCCTTTTCCCTGGAACACGCATACACATACACCAAGTGCAAATAAAAACTTGGTCAGGAACCGTTTCCTTTCCCTGTTTATGCTTTTTTTTTTGTTTGTTTTGTTTTAATTTTTAGACAAAAAATTTCAACAAGATCTTCAAGGTATGTTTATGCTTTTTGCATTCGGAGACAGTAATTTGGTTTTAAATTTCTTGGGCCCAGTTAAGACTCGCTTTAATAGGGAATGCCAGAATTTTCAAAGGTTATGCCAGTTTGGTAAAACACTTTAATAAACAGACTTTCTTTTCTCTTTATATCAGTTCATTAATCATGTAAGCCGTGAATTTAATATGAATTTACATTCCAGAAGAAATCTAAGCCATTCTAAGAGACACTTTTTCATGAAGGGATATCTTAAGTTTATAGCTGGGAAACTCACATTCCTAGAAATCTCACATAGTAATATAACATGGAATTTTTGTCTTTATAACTCAGTATTGTTGATCTATGTATAACTTGTTTCTCCCCGTTAACATTGTTTTGGCAATTTGTTTTTATGGAAAGATACTGTCAGGAAGGCGCACTGTATTCTTTGTTATTCCTGAAAAATAGAAAACCTGTCTAGAGCTTCTGTTAAACTGCAGGTATAAATATATGCACTTCAGTACTTGTTTTGCACGTACATTCATTGGTTTCTTGATTGGTTAATCATATGAAGACCCCCATAAAAGAAATGTTAAAATTAAATAAAGCAAAAAACAGTCATAGTAAAAATATTTTATGTCTTTCTATATCACTTGCATCGAGAACTAGAACACGTCCCCCAGATGTACACAGGAATATTTTATCTTTGCCAGTATGACATGGAAAGACTAACTTGAATATCCTCTTTGTCCCTAAAAGCCAGCCCAGAGTCACAATATGCTGCACTTCAGAATTCACCCTCCCCCTATTTCCTTTATTTTCCTCTTTCCATATTTATTCCACATTCTAGGCTGTGCTTTCTCAGAATATGCATCTCTGTATATCAAGTGCGAAAGATAAGTGATTTCTCACAAGGGTTGTGGAGCGGAAACAGGATAGCTTGCCCATTGTAACTTTAAATGCACACACAGCCTCACATTAAGTAGTGGAGATGTTTAATTTTTAATTTTTCCAGTTCTAGAAATATTCCATGCTTCTGAAACGTTACAGCATTTTCCTTCAAACCAACTTCATGTTTCTTTTCCAGAACATTGGTGTATAATTTAAATTGGCTTTAGTTTTACTATTTAAACAGCCTTATTTCACCTTCCTCAAGCCACTGTACTAATTAGCAGACATGCTCTCTAGAAAATGAAAAGGAAATAATGCTGGTGGCATGCATAGTGGTCGGATTTGGGGGCAGGTCGGCTTGTGTCTTTTTGAACAGCAAGGTCGTCTGGTTACTGCAAGGGACAGGGATCTGAGAGTCATCGGATTAATCTTTAAAAAAAATTAATTTCTTAGAGTGTTGGCTGACATTTTTTCGTGAGGAAAAACTTGGCATTAAATAACAGGCATTTCTGATTTGTGGAAGAAAATTGAAAAATAAGCATGTCTGCAAATACCACAAAAAAATACCATTTCCAAAATAACGATCTGTCAAGGAAATTGCAAAATCATTATGTGAATGAGCCGAATTGCTTTGTGTATCATCTCATAGACATGTTTTGCACAGATAATGTGTCTAATAAGGACACATTTTTAAAAATCAGATTTTTTTTCCCCCCCAGCAAATAGCTGCACTGCAGGTCTCTCTCAGGCAGTCAACTAGCACCACCTTATGGATGATTTGGGGACATTGCTGCTTCCCTGCTAGGCTTTTGTAAAATGTAGTAAACCGATTTAAAATAATGGGAAAGTGGATGGTGATGACAATATTAATGACAATAATAACGCTTTTTTCCCCCTTCTTGTTTTTTAGGCATCAGATGCCAGCTCTGAAAAACTCTTCAACACTGTTATTGTAAACAAAGGTAAGGCCCATCCGTTCCTCTGAATAATGGCTTATTTTTACGCTCCTTTCATTGCCATTGCCTGAAGAGAGAAGAGCCAGTGTGATCTTTCTCTCTTAATTCTGGAGCTGCTGTTGATGTTTCGTGTTTTTGCTTGAGACGGAAGTCTGCATACGTTGTGATGCATTAACACCTAGTTTATTTTAAAAGAATACATTGAGTCTCCATTTAAATGGATTTGACTAATCACTGCTGTTATGTGCCGTTAATATCGAAAGCTGTACTGGAGAAGAATCTTAATTGTTACTTATCAACTACCCAGCAGTAGGAGAAATACAAACAGCTGATGTGTGCTGCAGACTCCGGTCATCGGGATGTTTAGTATTCCCAGTATTATGGTCGTAAACGAGGCCATACTCTGCTGTGGGCTTTCTGTAAAGTTAATACATGAGCAAGAGGGCAGAATTTAAGTATGCACTATCCCATTAATTTCTTCCAAACCACAATCTAGAGTAAGAGGCTAATGGTACAACCGTCCATTAAAGGAAAACTAACCTTAAATCATTGCCAAAAGGTGTCCACGCAGTTTTCATTTGTAGCAGTATTGTTGGAAATAATGAAATTTAGAGAAGTCTCTAATCACTGGCTCTGAAAGGTGTATAATTTGAAAGGTACAAACCATAGAAACGATTTAATCTTCCCCTTTCCACTATCAAGCCTGATTGAGGGGCTGGCGTGATAATTGCTAAATAAAGATGTGCTTTCCATGATAATCTCTATGTTACGGGGACAACAGTTGGTAGCACTTCAGCAGACCTGGGTCTTCTTCACAAAGTGGAATTTGAGACCACTTCAGTCTTCTATAGTTGCCTTGGCTAGCATTTTTGCTAGCTGGTTAGTAAGACGTTTCCAAGTGCAGTTATTTTGAGCTCCCAGATTATTTTAGAATTTGAACCAATTGCAGTTTTAAATAGTACATTATGTTTAGGGTTCCCTTGAGGTGGATGTGATTGCTGTTACTCCCAGAATTACTGTCATATTGAATTTTATCTTTCTTTATTGCATAATGGAGTGTTCCGGTTTTATATTTCATCATATTTTTTGATAGACTGAAAGTTTGTATAAATGTGTTATCCATAATGCTAAAAGCCCAATAAAAGGAGATGTGTGCCATTCATAGCATACAGTGCTTGTGTGTAAAAATCACAATTGTCTACCACTTGGTGTGAAAGGAGATGTGTGCCATTCATAGCATACAGTGCTTGTGTGTACAAATCACAATTGTCTACCACTTGGTGTGAAAGGAGATGTGTGCCATTCATAGCATACAGTGCTTGTGTGTACAAATCACAATTGTCTACCACTTGGTGTGAAAGGAGATGTGTGCCATTCATAGCGTACAGTGCTTGTGTGTACAAATCACAATTGTCTACCACTTGGTGTGAAAGGAGATGTGTGCCATTCATAGCGTACAGTGCTTGTGTGTACAAATCACAATTGTCTACCACTTGGTGTGAAAGGAGATGTGTGCCATTCATAGCGTACAGTGCTTGTGTGTACAAATCACAATTGGCTACCACTTGGTGTGAAAGGAGATGTGTGCCATTCATAGCGTACAGTGCTTGTGTGTACAAATCACAATTGTCTACCACTTGGTGTGAAAGGAGGGTGATGGGATGGGATAGGGAGACTGAGGTAGAGGACAAGTCACCAAAGGCAGGGCTTCTTTGTTTCTGCACCCCCCTCCCCAGGACCTCTGCCACACAGGACTGCATCTGTCTTCTGCTGGCTGGCCACTAGAAGCTTTGGAATGTATCTCCCCTTTCTGCCTTCAGGCCCCAGAATAAGAGTAGGCTGCAGGACCGGCACACTGGCCGCCACTGCCCCAGACTCTCTTCAGGGCAGATGAACAGTTCCCCTCTGCCTCTTGCCTCCGGTTCTTTCCCCCCTTTCTTTCCTTTTCCAATCAAACGTTTCCCACATTCTTATTTTTGTTTACTTACAGAGTGTGATTTGTGGCATCTATTTGGTTGTGAATAGTCCTCCCCCGACAGGGTGCCTTTCTTCTGAGCTGCTTTTCTGGGGGTGATTTAGTTGCCTTGAAAGGATTAAGGTTTCTTTGTGTACACTAAAATCAACATAGGCTTTTTCTAAGCTTTGCTTGGGAAACCATACACAAATAAGCATTTTAGTTGATGGCAGATTATTCCTTTGCCCCTTATTTCCATCAAAATGGCCTTTCTTTTCTCCTCCAGAGTTTCCCCTTAATGCCTTATGCTAATTCCTCTTGGTAGCATGAATGACAAGAGACAGAATCAGTGCGAATCCAGGTGGTACAAAGTAGACTGACTGGTATCCAGCACCCCCTTCCTGCCTGGAGAGAAAGAGATTAAGGGGGGTGCGGAGGGGGAAAGCATCGGGGACAGTTTTGTTAAGGGGATTAGTATTCAAACTGCTAAATATCAGGAAAACAACTTCAAAAAGGGATTCATTGTGTAGCGATAATGTCAATAATTGCTTCAGGACAGGTGCAGAGTCTCGTTACAGGCCTGTGGTTTTGGGTCTGTTTTTACCCCGGGTAGTGGCCGTGTTTACAGGATGGATAGTTGACAAGGTCTTCAAGGAACTGTCAGATTCATGCACATCAAGTTCAAGTTTTTCTATAAGGCAGCCGGCCTGCCTGAAAGTCAGGTCTCCTCTCTTTGTCTGAGTATCTTTAGCCAAGAGCAATAAAAAGCATCATAAGAAAGGGCAAATGGGCACCAGGTAACAAACAACTGGGGAAATCGTGAAAGCCCCAGCTTATGGAGTGCAGCGGGGCTGACACGTGTATCCCTCCACCTCCAGATGTTTAAAGTTACACATCACCTCTCCCTCTCAAGGGGCTGGCAGCATTCTGGCCTTAGAGGAGTGTGGCTTTAAGCTGCTGGTAGATTATGCTGCTGAGCCTGGTGGCAGGCAGATTGGGTCCATAAAATTTCACCGTGGGAGGGCAGTGCTAATCTCACAAGCTGACTGTGGTGAGGGCTTGGGAGGTGCAGCCGTGATGGGGGCTGCACAGTGTGGAGTTGAAGCTCCAGGCAGAGGCAGCAGGGACCGTGGCTCAGGGCCCATCAGTCAGCTCGTGAGCTTGAGTAAGTCATTTACCCTCCTTAGGTCTGGATTAGCAATTATAACAAAACCTATTCCCGGGCCAACATCTCTGGCAGGGATAAAACCATTAATTGGGAAGGGGCAAGGGTTGAAACAGAGTGGTATAATGAGTATATTGTGTGTCACTTTTGTCCATCGATTTTATTTCAACTTTCCCTGTGTTGTAGAGGCCATCCAGTTTAATAGAGGGCTAGTCAGATTTTTGTGTTTAATTGTTCCGAATGGTCGCTTTCTTCTGATGCCTTTTATTTCCTGCTTTTAAAGAAGTTAATCAGACAGCATGTGCTTGCATGTACACACAACATGCCCAATGAGAACCGAGCCTTTCGAAAGGGGTGTGGCTTAGCGTTGTAGACACAGAAAACAGTTTAACTTTAATCAAGGTCATGGTTGCCGTATTTAATCTCTACGTGTTTAAATGTTTACAGGATGTTCATGTGAATTTTATGAATCCTTCTGTCTTTGTGACTCAACCATCTGCCAAAGAAAAAATTAATTTTCCCAGTGAGACAGAGACACAGAGAGAGACTAACTTAGCTTCCCTATTTAGTTGATTGAAACGCTATAGGAGCAACAGGACTTGCACCCCAAATTCTGGGGTATTTATTCCAAAGAGGAACTTCTCGCTGTATTCGCATGGCCAGTGTTTATTATCCTTTCCTACCTACTCTAGAACCTCCGTGGTGTCACCAGTTTGGTCTGTAGACAAAAGTGCAGAAGATGAGTTCTTTGCTGCACACACTTATCCTGCCAAGATAATGAGTCTTTCCTAAAACTCTTGGATTGCTCCAGATCAGAGCCGCTTGAAGAGGAAAGAAAAGAAGGGAAGCCTGTCTGGGAGGAAGGAGAACAACAGGCAGGTGTCAGGAGTTTTGCAGAGCCCTCTGTTTATAGGATATCAGTCCTGGTGTGGGGCCGTGGTTCTAGGTTAGGGGAAGAGAAAAATCTCTGAATCACTGCCCCGTCTTGGTTCAGAGTCGTCCTCCTCAGGATTTAGCCTGCAACCCAGACAAGTCATAGATAGACAGTGAGAGGGGCCCATTGGTGTATTTTATCCCATGACTTTCTCACCCCTTCGCTTTCCTTCAACTTTGTCTCACATTGCAGAACTGGGCCCTCCTGGGGAAAAGCCACCTCAGTGAGCCAGCAGGGAGCTCTGTCCAGCTGAATGGGCATTTCTGAATGGCTTGGGGTGGGTTTCATCCAGTGGGGAATGAAGCCCATTCTGCTGCTTTCTACTGTGAGCTCCCAGTGTCTACTGAAATGGAACAGCAACAGAGCAGCTGCTCACCCTCATAGGCAGGACCTCACTTCACCTCCATCAGCTGGGAGATTCTAGTGGATACTCACTCAGCAAGAAGAGCACCAGATGCAATGCTCCGGCCACCTAGAGCCCTCTGACCGGGACTGCTTTTCCTCTCCCGGGCCCCACCAGGCCTCTTAGTGGAACCCACCTGGCCTCTTCTTGGGGTTGGTTTTGCACTGAAAATTTGTAGTGGGACACAGATGAGGTTGGAGCCTTTAGGTGAGTGGAGCCTTTGGATATTTTTGGCAGTGCGGTTCTATCGGCATTATAGAAAGAAGACCTAGCTTAAAAATTGCCTGAAATCTGAGGAGATGAGGTAAGAAACAAATTACCCAGAGATCCTGCTGGCTTAGTAACCAGGTACCTAGTAAATGCTTCGTTGGTGACCATATGACCATATTCTTCAGGTTTAGACACAAGGGATTTCCTTGGTTTGGTGCTGGAAAGGTAAGAGTTATATTACCATCAAGGTCACCATTGACTTAAGAAAAACCCATTCCCCCACCAAGCATGGTCACTCACGCCTTTAATCCCAGAACTTTTGGAAGACTGAGGCAGGAGG